CAGGAAGCCGGGAGTTCGGTGCTCTTCGAGAACTGCTCGGCAAATTCCGGCACCTTGCTTGGCAGTTGAAGCTACAAGTATCAGATTTTGTTCCAGCCGTCGGATTCCGGGGTCCTCACCGTGAGATCAACCACCATCGCCACATGACGCGGCAACCGCCATCGCATATTATAGAATCATGGAGTCACTATTGTGTCTTGGAGGGGCGAGCTAAGCATCAAGTTACCCAGTTCCTCCCAAGGAAAACCCCAGACCCTAAACCCTAAACCCTGAACCCACCAAAGACTGCTTACGGGTGCACCTCCAGGCTTCCTCCTGTGCTGTTATGTTAGGAAACCTACACACCTCCCATCACTTCAGGTACATTCTGTAGGCTAACCTTGTGACCGAAAAGGCGCGCTGTTTTGGTAAGGTTTTGGCTGTTGTCAGGATGCGTCGTGTGCGTAGCTTCTGTCAGAAACATGGCCATAATGTGCGAAGTTGTCGGCAGCTGGCCACTAAACTCCTGAAGGCCGTTCAGGCAAAACATTTTGCGAAGCAAATCTTGGAAGTGGTATCCCAGGATTCTGTGACAGTGCATGGTGTGAGACACAAAGCAACTTCCTCAATGAGAAGCATCATGAAGTGTGTTCACAAAGGGAGTCGTGCAATGTCTTCGAGCCGTACCCAGACACAGACATATTCTAAGAACAGGTCAGCCAATGAAAGACGTCGCCCTCCCAAGCGGAAAACACTGGATCAGCAGAAGATGGACAGTGCGATGAGGTCTGATTTCTTGAAAGCATGGAAATTCTTGACAACATGGTGGTTTGCCCGACCTGGTCTCCGTTCCAGATATACCAGATACCCATGCAGTTGTAAGAGATCTGGCTGCGTTGCAGAAAAGCTTGCGATGGGACCTCCTAGAAGTTCACAGCGGAAGAAAGTTGTTGAGCTCTTGAAGAAGGAGAAGCGAAAGCTGACAACTGTTTACTTTCGCGGCAGCAAGTGCAGCAAGTTCTTCCCTTGCACCAAGTCTACGTGCTTATGAAGCTGCCGCCGGCTACGATGCTATGCGGAAACTGAAGCTGCATGGACAAGTGGAAGGTGATGGTACGGCGCTTCGTGTGTTCAAGTATGACGACAAGAACCACTACATAGCAATGTGGGGGCTTGTGCAAAGGCCTCGGGGCAAGGCCATTCCGAAGACTTTGATATACTTTGTTCCAGTCAAGAAGGTGAAAGGGAACAGTGCAGTGTATGTCCTGTGGAGAATCATGCTGATGTTGTTTACACAGGCAGCTTGAATCAGATCATCCAACATGCCAAGGCTGATGGAAAAGTTCCATCTCTCTTGCTTACTGATGGAGCTTCTTGTTACACCAAGCTTGCGAAGGAGTTCAAGTTGAAGCATCGGTTTTGTGTACATAGTGCAGGTGACTGGAACCACAAATCCCAAGTCAAAGATTATGGGACCGTTCATGTTAATACCGGGTTGATTGATCAGAGATGGACACTGATGAAGAAGTGGCTACCCAAGCAGGTGTCATCGTCTGATGGTCAGGGCAATATGAACATGAACATTTGGAGGTATGTGTGGTACCAGTGGTGGCTTCGATATCACCACCCCCAGGTACACGACCCACTTGACATCTTGAAGGAGCCGTGGGGCTGCACCTGAGAGAAAACGCGCCTGCAAACGCACCCGCAGGGCCAAAGACTGTGTGGTCCTGGAGAGAAACCAGCCGAAAAAGGAACCCCCCACCCCAAAAAGAAGACGGAAGCAAAACACCGCCCGTCGCTGGGCATCATGTTAATGCAAAGTTCAGACTGATCTTCGATCGACCGTGTGCCTTGTCGTTGGCTTTCCGAAGGGCTTGCAGGGGCGGCATGTGTAGAGGCTGAAGATCTCTACGGCTCGGGGCTGGCCGGGCTAGAGAGACAATGGGAAGATTATGCCTCGTACTGTAAAGCGGGTTCCTGTGAGCAGCTGAAGCCCCTGAACTCAGCCCGTGCTGTCTGTCTCTCAGGTGACGGCGGGGGTGTACGCTTGGGGCAGAACTTCACGCAGGGCCTTGACACCTCTGCCATCTTCCGCAGCTGCAGGGCGGGACATTTGGGAGCCTGGGCAGCAGCTGTCTTGTGCCCGTTGCTAGTGGGGGACCTTCCGACGCCCATCTTCATGCTGTAGGGCATGGCCACTGCCCGTGCCACGGCATGCTTTTAACTGGCTGGTGGTGACTGCCTGGAGGGTCCGTGAAACATAGCCCTTGAAGTACTCCGCCATGCAGGCACTTATTGCGCACCGGGCTAGCCTCTGCAGTCAAAAAGTTAGCAGGGTGTGGGGTTTTGGGGCCCTCTTTTTGAGAGATTTTTTTGGGCTGTTTCTGTGGTACGACTGGTACCCCAAGGAGGCGGCCTCCTTGCCGACGGCGGCTACCAGCAGGAAGCCGGGAGTTCGGTGTTCTTCGAGCACTGCTCGGCAAAAGGCACCTCGGCAGTCGAGGGTGTAGATGAGTGTATTTGCATTCGGGTGTCCTCATCACGGTAACTGTGTGGCCTTATTCCGAGCGACACGGTCCTCGGTGTCCGACGGGCTTGCAGGGGCGGCAGATAAAGGCTGAAGGTCTCTACGGTTTGGGGCTGGCCGTGCTAGAGAGACGTAAGGCCGTAAGGCTCTCAATGCAAAGTGGGAAGTCTTCTGAGCAGCCGAACGGACCTGAACTCATTGCTGCGAGTCTTAGCCTGTGCTGTCTCTCAGGTGACGGCGGGGGTGCACGCGTGAAGAACTTCACACAAGGCCCCAACACTTCTGCCATTTTCCGCAGCTGCAGGGCGGGAGAAGACGGAGCCTGGGCAGCAGCTTGCCCCACGCCCTACCCTCTTGGGCGTGGCCGTACTCGTGCCATTTCGAGCCTGAGTCGGACAGGGACAGCCCCTGCAATGAAATGCCCTCAGTGTTGGTGGCAATGCTGAGCCCCCACATCGCATGCGCATCCCAGACAGACACGTGAACAGGTTCAGCATTTTCACAGCGTGCAAGTCTACCAAGGAGGCGGCCTCTTTGCCGACGGCGGCTACCAGCAGGAAGCCGGGAGTTCGGTGTTCTTCGAGCATTGCTCGGCAAAAGGCACCTCGGCAGTCGAGGGTGTAGATGAGTGTTTTTGCATTCGGGTGTCCTCATCACGGTAACTGTGTGGCCTCATTCCGAACGACATCTTTGGTGTCCGACGGGCTTGCAGGGTCGGCAGATAAAGGCTGAAGATCTCTACGGTTTGGGGCTGGCCGTGCTAGAGAGACGTAAGGCCGTAAGGCTCTCACTGCAAAGTGGGAATTCTTCTGAGCAGCCGAACGGGCCTGAACTCATTGCTCCGAGTCTTAGCCTGTGCTGTCTCTCAGGTGACGGCGGTGGTGCATCCGTGGAGAACTCCTTCACACAGGGCCCTAACACCTCTGCCATCTTCCGCAGCTGCCTCGGGGGAGAAGACGGAGCCTGGGCAGCAGCTTGCCCCACACCCTACCCTGTTGCGCGTGGCCGTACTCGTGCCATTTCGAGCCTGAGTCGGACAGGGACAGCCCCTGCAATGAAATGTCCTCAATGTTGGTGGCAATGCTGGGGCCCCCACATCGCATGCGCATCCCAGACAGACACGTGAACAGGTTCAGCATTTTCACAGCGTGCAAGTCTACCAAGGAGGCGGCCTCCACGCCAAAGGTGGCTACCAGCAGGAAACCGGCAGTTCGGTGCTCTTCGAGAACTGCTCGGCAGAGGCCCATCAGAGCACCTTGGCCTGGGAAGATAATATGAGCTTCGCAGTATCGGGGTGTCCTCCCAATGGTACGTCTGGTCCATAATTCCGAAACTGCTCTGGGCTCCATGGTTGAAGCGAAGTTCGGGGGTCTTCGATCGTCTCGGTGCCTTGGTTTTTGGGTGTCGGAACCGCCTGCGGGAGCAGTTTTATAGCTGAGGACCTCTATGTCTATGTATCTAGGGGCCGGCCATGCTAGAGAAACAAGATCTAGGGTTTAGGGTTTAGGGGCAGGGCACTGCCAAGGGGATTCTTGGGAGCAGCTGAAGGGGCCTGAACTCATTGCTCCGAGTCTTAGCTTGTGCTATGTCCCAGGTTGGGGCGGTGGTGCACGCGTGGAGAACTTCAGACAGGCCCCCAATAGCTCTGCTATCTTCCGCAGCTGCCGGGCGGGACAAGACGGAGCCTGGGCAGCAGCTTGCCCGACGGCGTACTCGTGCCATTTCGAGCCTTAGTCGGACGGGGACAGCCCCTGCAATGAAGTATCCTCAATGTTGGGGGCAATGCCGGGGCCCCACGTCGCATGCACATCCCAGACAGACACGTGGACAGGTTCGGCATCTTCAGAGCGTGCAAGCCTAATTACCCAGGAGGCGGCCTCCACGCCAAAGGTGGCTACCAGCAGGAAGCCGGCAGTTCGGTGCTCTTCGAGCACTGCTCGGCAAATGGCACCTCGGCAGTCGAGGATGTAGATGAGTGGCCTCATTTCGAGCGACACGGTCCTTGGTGTCCGACGGGCTTGCAGGGGCGGCAGATAGAAGCTGAAGATCTCTAAGGCTTGTGGCTGGCCGTGCTAGAGAGATGTAAGCCGGAAAGGCTCTCGCTGCAAAGTGGGTTCTTCTGAGCAGCTGAAGGGGCCTGAACTCATTGCTGCGAGTCTTAGCCTGTGCTGTCTCTCAGGTGACGGCGGTGGTGCATCTGTGGAGAACTCCTTTACACAGGGCCCCAATAGCACTGCCGTCTTTCGCGGCTGCCGGGTGAGACGAGACGGAGCCTGGGCAGCGGCGTTTTTCTGACCGGTGCTAGGTGGTTGCCTGCTGGGAGCCTTCCGACACTCACCCTAACTCGCGCCATGGAGGCCTAATTGCGAACCGGGACAGTCCCTGCACTGAATCTCCCAGACTTCGGGGTTTCCAAAACAGCGGCGGCTGCGGGAACCCTACCCGCCTCTCAGAGTGTTCCCCAGGAGGCGGCCTCCATGCCAAAGGCGGCTACCAGCAGGACGCTGGGAGTTCGGTGCTCTTCGAGAACTGCTCAGCAGACCGCGCCTTGGCTCCACTATCATCCTTTCGACGGTACTTGTGTGCCTGAGTTTTCGAAAGACATCGCTGGGCTTCATCTTGAAACATTCCTTTTTGCTTGCGGGGTTGCAGCCTTGATAGTTGAGGATGTGCACGAGTTGACTGCAGAAGCTTTCATGCACAGCTGAAGGCCCCTGAGCTCGTTGCTCGCTGCCGCTCCCCGGCCCAGGTGGTGGTGCATTCGTGGTCGAGAACTTCACGCAGGGCCCCAACAGCTCTGCCGTGTTCCGCAGCTGCCGCGCGGCACATGACGGAGCCTGGGCTGCAGCGTTCTTGTTCTTGTGACCGTGGCCAGTCGGAGGGTGCTGGGTATCTTCCGACATCCTTCCTTGTGGGGCATTGCTGTTCCTTGTGAAACGTATTTCAAGAGCTGGTGATATCTTGTGCTTGTGCTCGTCATTTGCCAGGCGACAGCCCTAAGTGACCGGGACAGCCTCCGCAACCAAATTGCTGCAACGAGTCAGCCTGCGGGCTCAGCAGACTTCAGTGTTGGGTGTTAAAAAGGGATATATTTTTGAGTTTAGGGCTGCAGCCGCTAGACTCAGAGCAGCCCCAAGGAGGCGGCCTCTACGTCCTAGCAGGCTACCGCCAGGAAGCCGGGAGTTC